TACATATAAATGCATGGGAGAGTTAATATTCTTAAAACTTTGAATAGATCTCTGCAGCTAGTACGTCTATTTACACTCTGAATGTTTCTGACAGCTCTCTTCTGTAAAATAAATACCCTTTGTGCCTCACGTGATAGGCCCCAAGCTACTATACTATATGAGATTGTTGAGTGTAATTGGGCATGATAGTACATGAGTACCACCGACTTATCTATAATTTTACTGAGTTGATAGATACAGTAACACATAGGCGTTATTTTTTTACATATTTCATTAATATGTTGATTCCATTTACAATCTTCAGTGAGAGTAAGTCCTAGAAATTTTATTGAATTCACCTGTTTCATTAAACCGTGCTGTGATTTTAACAGTAAACTGTGATCATGACCATTTGGGGCATAACTAAATCTTAGGAAGGATGATTTTTTATCATTGCAGATTAATTTATTGCTAGAAAACCAGTCCTGGGCTTTTAAAATTTCCCTGTGAGCCAAGTCTACTGTGGATGTAACATTCTTACCACTAACCAGTAGTGTTGTGTCATCCGGATACATTACAAAATTTCCTTCAAAGTCATTGACATAAATTATGGCTCCTCATTACGAAAACGTCAAGAAATGGAAGTTGTCCCTCATTTTCTAACTCATACGTGAGTTTTATTGTTGGAAATCTGTTATTCAAAAATGAAACAAACTCTTCAATATTCGATTTTTTGTTATCAAATATCGAAAAAACATCATCCACATACCTCGGCCATATCCTAGGAAAATACTTTGACTTTTCTTTGGTTTGGTTTTGTAGCACGATTTGTCTTTAGCACCAAAATAGGCATCAGCTTCGACAACTAACTTTTCAACGGCGCTGGATTTCTTTCCAGCGCCAATGAAAAAAAGTCGCTGGGGGTTAGGTCTGGAGAATATGGTGGAGCGTAAGCAATTTGAAGCCCAATTCATGTAATTTTGCTATCGTTTTTCCGCGATTTCGTTATTCAAACGCTCAATAAGGCTATGTAATATTCCCCGTTGATGGTGTTTTTCTTTTCAAGAGATTCGATGAATAGTATACCATGTGTGTCCCAAAATACTGATACCATAACCTTACCAGCCGACTGTTGCGTATTTGCACGCTTTGGAGTCGGTTCACCCCATTCAGTCCACTCAGATGACGGTCATTACGATTCTGGTGTGAAATATTGGAGCTATGATTCATACATTGTCACATATCGACGCATAAATTTGGGTTTTTTTATGGTGGAATAGTTTTCAACGGTTGATTTTCCTGGTGTAAAGTCCGAATAATGTTCAAGTCGAGCTTCGCCTTCAACAGTTTATTTTTCGGCAAAAAGCAATTTTTATTAACACACAAAATTCCTTTTTATCCATTTTCTTCGAACTAACAAAAGTTGTTTCACCCCTGCGGTAAATTTTAGTTTTGAGGACACCCCAAAAAATGTGTTGCAGTCCTCGTGAAACTGGTACCCTTTCAGTGGAAGAGCTTCTTGAAGCAAGAGCCGAATCGATCCCTCTACGAAACCCTTCTTCACTTGGAAAAGCTTTGCACGGACTGGTTATTAGTCATATTCATATTAGGAAAAGCTAGATGAAGTTCCAGAAATTCACATAAGTTTTCGCTACTTCTTGAACATTTACCACAAAGTAAACAAGTAAAAAATATTCCTGGCTCGTAATAGAAAGTTTTCAAACCTCTTGAAATACTCTAATCAGGTTGTAATATGAATTGTATTTAAATTGTCTTTCTCTTGCAGGAATACCACCAAGCAATTTTCCGGAGTACCTACAGAATGGTAACATTTGAAGACCCGTTTGATGACTACATTACTAGGAGAATTCGCTCCACTGTATTGGAATGGTCATGTAGAAGTCCAGATTCCGGATGTGCCCATGAATCGAGAACAAAATTCAGAGCATGGATGATCAACAATGAACCGTAATAATAATTATTAAAATATGGAATCGCAAGTTGACAATTCGTTAATATTAACAATGTGATGTTTTGACTTTCTGCTTCTTCATTATACTAAAAATGTGTGATGTGCAGATTATGCACAGATTCGTTTAGATACAAACTGAAGAAAAAATTCAACCGAAACAACTACAGATATTCACAGGAACACTACCTATGCAAAATAATATATGAAAGAGTATTGACATAAAATTTATTCACATGGAACACAATCAATCCCCAGGTGTACTTCGAAGTTTCAGGGGAAAACACTAATTTTCAAATCCTCATCAACAGTTTTCAAAATGATACAGTACACTCGACACATTTCTTAGTGTTGATAATAAATATTCCATAGCTTCTTTATAAGTGCATGGTGTTTATAAAAATACTCTTTTCCTCGAAACAATGAATTGTCGTCTTCCGATTTGTTGTTGATATTGAGGTCTCAATGTTTGTACTTTTTTTCAGGGTTTTACCAAATCTGCGAGAAATCGTTTACTGTACGGCCCTTAGAGAAGGGGCTGAAATTGAATGGGACTTTGCTTACAGGAAATATTTGGAATCAAACTCTCCATCTGAAAAGAATGTGCTACTTGATGCTTTGGGTTGCACCAGACTTCGTTGGCTGTTGTCCAGGTACCTGCTGAAATTTCGATAACTTTTTTTTCTTGTACATGACCTAAGAATATAATCCTTTTGACTAGGTCGATTGAAACGTTGAGTTAATAAAATCATGGAATTAGTACATTTTTACTGATAAACTTGATAGTAAATACTTAATGGGGCTGTAATTTCACACCGATATTCGAAATTATGATTTGCTATAATATTCTCGCATAGACAATTTTCTGAAATATTACAGTCTAACCGACTGACTGACTCACTCACTGACCGACTGACTCACTAACCAATTGACTGACTGATTTGCTCACTGACCGACTGACTCACTGGCGGACTAACCAATACACTAACTCACTACCGACCGACTGACTCACCGACAGTCTGATACACTCAGTAATTGACAGACTCACCGACAGACTGACTCACTGACCGACCGACTCCCTTCTGACTAACTCACCGGTTGATCGACTGTCTCACTGACCGACTCACTGACTGACTCACCAACTCACTGATCGATTGACATATTGACTTACTCACGAACTGACTAATTCACTTAATGACTGACTCATCGACAGACTGACTCGCACACTGACCTACTGACTCACTGTCTAATCGACTGCCCCCCCAATTGACTCACTAATCTTACCAAACTGACTCACTAACTCACCGACTGACTCACTGATTCATTAATCAACTCACTGACAGACCGACTCACTCAGTGATTGGCTCACCAACTGACTGACTCACTCACTCAGTGACCGACTAAATCACTGGCTGTCTGATTTACTGACTCACTACCGACTAACTGACTATCTGTTGTGTAACTGTATGACTAACTAACCGACTGACTGACGAGCTGACTCACTGACTGAATAGCTCACCGATTGATTGTCTCAATGACTGACTGGATTAGTGACTCACCGTCTGACTGACTCACCAACTGACTTACTCGCTCAGTGACTGACTGACTGTATTACTTAGTGACCGACTGACTGACTGAATGACTTATCGACTAATTGACGAGCTGGCTCGCTGAATGAGTAACTCACCTACTGACTGACTCACTCACCGACTGACTGATCGAATGACTTACTCACTGACTAACGATCTGACTCACCGATTGACTGACTCACCACTGACTGATCGAATGATTTATCACTGACTGACTGATCGATGGACTCACTAACCGACTAACTCATCCACTGACTGACTCAGGGAGTCACTCACTCAACGAATGACTCAATGACCGACTGACTTACTCACCGACCGACTGACCAGCTGAGTGACTCATCGACTGATTGACTCACCGACTCATTCGCCGACTGATTTGACAGAATGACTGACTCACTAACGGGCTGGCTGGACAATCTGACTGACACTAACTATTGTATTGCACACATCGCAATTCTTAAATTGTTGATAAGTATTTTCACATTTAACAATTTATCTTTGCATATTTTCGTATGTTTTCAAAAAATATGTTTGAAAACATACATACATTAGAAAGCAATACAAATAATGAAATTTGAAACAACAAAAATCAATTGTCGCTCTAGTGCGACTTCATTGATTCCAGTGGCGCATTTTGAGTTTTAATTTGCCTATTATAAGAAGCCATTGTTTCCTAGGAAAGTTGGAATTGAATTGAAGCATTGACATCAGCTTCAACTGAAAAGTTACAGGGATATTATTCTTAACGCCAAGTGTACCAAGAAATTCGCTTTTTTATCTATTGAATGTCTCTAATCTTATCGTCCTTTTCTCTTCTGTGAAATGTTCCGCTTGCTATTTCTTTCACAAATATATATGTGTATGTGTGGGTTCTTGGTAATAATACGTGTTAAGCTTATTCAAACTCAATAACTTTATTTAATAACACAAAACAACTGAACCCTATACTTCAGTCATATTTTATAATTAGCGCATGTATTTCACTCGTTGCTTTCTTCGGTTTTGAATTACTCTCGGCGAACTGATTCAAATACAATATATTTGAACATTCCTGTTCTTTCGCAAAAAAAAAACAGTCTTTAAGCATGTCGTATATCTGTCAGTGGCGGTTCATACGATTGCCGTGTGCGTAACATTATTTGAATTACTCTTCCTGACTTTGCATGTCTAGTGGAATTCCATTTAATAGCGCCCTCTGATATTTTTCCTTATTTTCAAAATATATGGTTAGAAGTTAGATCAATTTAGACACATAGGCAAGAATCGGATATTTGGTTGGTGTTATATGTGATGATTGATAATGTCATATTAATTGAATAATGTCATGTGTAAATTAAGTATAATTATACCACCCTTTTTTTCTGGGGACACAGTTCACAAATCTTTTCAAATGCACTATGTAGTTACCCAAAGTCTGTATATAACTATTCATGAATAACAACATAGCACTTTCACGTAAGAATGATACTTTCTTTGTTTTCTTTGAAACCACGACATGCACCTTGCTTTCTACTAACCTCTGCGACACTAAAAGGTAAATATGTACGTTATTTACAGATATTTGGATAAATTATTGGATGATCCTAGCATTAGGATACAAGACGCAGATAGAATATTCGAATCGGTGGCAAAGAACAAAATTGGAACCTCCATTGCATTCGATTTCTTGAGGAAAAACTGGAACGATCTTTTGAGCCAGTAAGACATACAATGAATTAAGTTATATGATGTGAACATATTTTTTTATAGCTTTGGGGATGGATTCAACATACTGGCTAGAATGATAAAATCTCTGGCGTTTCAAATGAACACGGAATTTCAGTTGTTGGAGGTAAGAGAACTACAAATTTACACACATAAACCTATAACTATTTAGGTGTTTCAATCGATTTTTACTTCTGTTGCATTTGACAATAAGAATTTATAGCTTTCAAGCTACTTTTAGTTTTCTATTTACTTTTGTTGGCCTAATACCTACTTCATGACTAATAATTTCATTAGAACTAATTAAAAGTGTTGGCATTATAAGAGAAATTTCACAAATTAATTTGATGGGCATGTAATAAACCAATTACCAGAAAACAGATCCAACAGAGAGGAAGAATTCAATTCTATTCGGTCTTTCACTAAATCTGCAGAATTCTTGAATGTATAATTTACAAGCACACGAAAAGATTCGAGTTTGCACTTCGAAAAGTATTCAAATTGATGTTTCAAATGTTGGTTTTAACTTTTAAATGGATTTGTTTCTAATTCACATATTGGCAACAGCGCCTAGAACTTTACCTGCCATTCCTAAAAATATTTTGCCTTGCATATAATATATCAAGTTGAAATAATTTATACCTACCTAGATATTCTACTTTAAAAAAGGAAAATTATCTTTATAAATCAACAATTCAGGCAAAATATGAATTATAGTTCAATACCACCTCCACAAGCCACATAAACAACAGTTGTTTTGTTATTTATTTATATAGAGGAAGATAGGTTAGGTGCACAAAATATCATATGTCACAGAATGTCTCGGAACTCAGAAAATAAGTAAACAGAACAGCACGCCTCTGAAATATGTCATCTTTGTTTGTCTCATTCAGGTAACAGATTCATTGTCCTTTATTAGGTATAACCGATGTTGCCAAATGGTGAAATAGAAACGAATCCCTTTAAATGTTGAATGCGAAGTTCATTCTTCTTTTAAAGGTACTTAAATAATTTTTTAAAGGAAAAGGTTGAAATGATAAGTTTAAAATGCGTTGTTTTAGAGCTCTTTTATGAAAACTACTTGATTTTCGTCAGGAGGAACATTCCCCATTCTCTATGTTTAACCGAGTATGTCACGGAAATTCTGAAATAACAGTGTAGAAACATTTCGAATCTTATTTTAAATATTTATTCCCTCGAACATACAAATTTGTAACATATCTCTTTGACACTCATCTTATTTCGGCTTTGATTTCTTTCATTATTATTATGTTATTGATTTATCCAGCAGTGACTACCTTTTTATCATCTATATGAGGCTGGTAACTAACCATTCCATTTTTTTATTCTAAATCGAGTTTTCTATCTTGGGAAAGTATTTAAAAATGATAAATTTATCCTTTACTGTTTTCCTTCCATCGATATTTTTTTGCCATGCAGAATATATAATCTTTGAAAGGTAAAAGACGCCAACTGTATTGGTAAAACACGTGTCGAGAATAGTATTACAGTTCTGATGTTTGGGAAAATTGGTTGTTTTGAAGTAACTTTTATCCAATATATCACAACATTTCAACAAATATTTAAATGATCATATATTTTCAGCTGGAACGATTTAGAGACAGCATAAAGCATAACATCAGCACAACAGCCAGTGCCTTCGATAGTGCCATAGAGACTGTGAAAGCTAATGTAAAATGGATGGAGAAGAACTACCATCAAGTGGAGCAGTGGTTACAGAAATATAAGGATCATTATGATTACGTTTAGGCGGCTTCCTCTGAAATTTCAATTTAAGCAGTGCTATATCGAACACTTAAGGTCAAAAAATGAAAATAGGTGCGAGGCAATTAGTCCAATTTAGTAGATGAACTATGCAGATTCTGTGACTCCGGAAATTCAACTAACAGAAGCAATGCACGAAAAACGGTCGAAAACGCACTGTACTTCATTGCTTCTGTTAGTTGAATTTCCGGTGTCACAGAATCCTACTTAATTTACATTTTAGGAAATTATACCCGATTGAAGATTCTTAAATTCATCAAGTGCTAGGTTCTATGTGCGCCCTTTTTATTTTTTCCAAGATAAAATGTCCGTTACAGAGCACCGCTAATATATTTCAGAAAAATAATGATGTGATGACTATTACACTTATCAGTTCATAGATTGATATGAAATCAGCTAACTTTGCTATTCATCTTTATATTAACTTCAAAATCATAGTGAATTCAGTTGAAAACATTCTTGATAAACGTTTTCATTCTGTATATGTAGTTCAGAAATGCTACTTTCACAAATTATTGTTTTTGAGAAAATGATTATTCTATGCCCCGATTTGAAATACTGCAAACGATTTCAACGTTAAAGATGACACCCTCAATCTGAGCAGGAGCAGAACACAGATTCTAACCTAACTTATTGAATCACCCTTCAAAACCACATTCTTGAAGTTGAAACATCACTGTCAAATGCCATCAACGAATTCGCTTATCTGGAACATTACGTGAATACTCCTCTCCATACCACACCGGAAGAATTTTTCAGCATACAAGGTGGGGTTGATAAATAGTAGAATATGGTGGACGACAAACTAATTCCTGTGTGCCGCGCTGGATGATCATGTTGGAAAAGCGCTTTTTTCTTGAAGTGTGGTTGCTTACGCTAGAGATCAGCATAGAAACGGTCCAGTAGCTATGCATAATCCTTTCCGTCGATGTAGTTGATGTAGATTAAGCCTTTAGCGTCCCAGAAAGCTACAGCCATGACCTTCTTGATGGACAAGCAAACATACTTTGCTTCCTTTGTTAAATTGACCAGAATTTGTTTAGTATTGCGACTGGTTCATGTACTCTGGTGCATCAATAAGTGAAAAGTAGTAACACCTTTGAAATTGTCTGACATAACGTTTGTTGTCGACGGATATCATTCATAGTGCACCCACCTGCTCTTCAGATGGCCTGGAAGCTCCTCATCAAAATATTGATACAACTGCTTTTGCATTCAGCTGTCCAGTATTTTATAATTCGGCGTTGATTCCATCGTTTTCTTTTCAAAAACAATCTCATGACTGCACTATACTCGAATAATAATGTAAGAGTTTTTCTCTTTCAATGATACCTAAACACAATAACATGATGGTGTTACTGGTGGCGCCCTCTCTTGTCTACTTGGACTACTTATCCCAGCCTCATACTCTCAGTATCTGAGGTCACTTGACCGACCATTACTTGATCTCGGAGAAAACTTTGACTCAACTCCACTAACAATACGTTGTCCATGGGCTTAATGCAATAGGTAATTATTTTTGAATTCATCTCATACGCTACATCCCAAATCTCTTATACCAAACTTCTTATACAACAAATAAACGAATTATGTAAATATAGTGTCTTTCATTTCAAATTGGGACTGTACCTAGAGGATGGTTATCACAAGAAACTAAACACTGAAATATAGTGAAACAAAAATTACATTGACAAAATGCTAATCTTTATTGTTCGAAATACAAATGAAAAATATTGCCTATCGGAAGTGTTGAAACACTGGCAAAATCCAAATTGCGTCTGCCGTAAATAGTTCTGGGATATTTTCAAACCGAAAGCGGGTCCTTTGTCATTTTCAAAAGTTTATTCTCATCTAGAACCCGCACCCTGCTCGGAATTATCAGTGAATATGGCTTCGGAGGAAATAATTTACAATAAATACATAAATAATATTGTCAACTGACGACGGCATCACAAAAATATACAAAATGGATTGGTGATGTAGCTTTTTGCACTTAGAGTAGAGTAACAATATATCACAAAAATTGGCAACGTTATGATTTGCAGCTTTAATACTATTATATTGATATTTGAAAAATACTGTAGCAGATAGCTCAATAGTATAAAACTATTTATTCTTCAATACTGTACATAGTGTACATCAAGAATTGAACATTTGTAAAATAAACTATTCCAAGTAAACACTTCCACAGTTTGATAATATAAGCAACATGCTCTTCAGTATAGAAAATATTGGGGAAAACTACTAACTTTCGGATGTTTTGATTTTTGTATTTCTTGGTTCAATAAACCAATGAGCAACATGAGCAAAAAATTTGAAACTCATGCTTCGCATGAATACGTATGTGAGAATGCTACAGAATATTTTAATATCAACAAAAATATTAACATGGATTATACAGCATTTTATGATCAACAGTAAAGAAACTAGTACTTTGGCTACCTATTGTCCATGACAACCTGTTTGAAACTTTGTACGCCTGTAGACATTTGGGATTTGACTTCGTGGTTGCCCAGAGCTGCAGTGCCATCTTTGGCTATGAAGAGTTGAAGACCTGATGCTGAAAATTAACAAAGGTATTACTGATTTTTCACTCAGCGGAGCATACCACATGGAATGAACAATTCATAACAGCAACCAGCACAATAAAATTGGTGTACCTCAAAGCGCCGTCACGGGGCCAGTTTTATTTACCCTTTGTATAAATTAGCTACCAGACATTTCATCAGATACCTTTTCCCGTTCATAAAACACTTCTGTTCACAGAAAAAGACGAACGTATTTTCAAAAAACTTAATTCGATATATCTATCTGGATGGTACTGTCGTAATTCTTCATTTCTCAATCCATGCCAGATAACAATTTATGTATTTTCAGTTTCGTTAGTGTGAGAAAACTGCAGATTTCAGTCTCAAATTAAAAGATATGTTTTTATGTACGTGACTCTTGACGTGTCCTACAACGCGTTGGACGTTGTTCACAGTTGGTGCCTGAGGGAGCAGATGTCTATCAACCCCAGCAAAACTGTGTTAATCCCCTTCACCAAGAGAAGGAAATTGGACGATCTAACACCACTTTCCGTCAATGGTGTGGTCTTTCCATTTGGAACGAAGGTGAAATATCGTGGCATTATCCTTGATAAAAGACTCACCTAGAACGCTCACTTGGAAAAAGTTTTACACAAAGCCAGACTGCCTCTATGGACATGTCGAAGGATTTGTGGTAAAACTTGGGGTTTAGGTCCCAAACAAATCCATTGGATTTATGTGATGATTGTCAGACCAATGATCACTTATAGTGCAATTGCTTGGTGGCTGAAGGCTTTACAGAAAACGGCCCAAGCGAAGCTCTCTGGCTTACAGAGACAGGCTTGTCTGGCATCAGTGGTGCCATCAGTACCACACCGTCAGCGGCCATGGAGATCCTTCTAGATCTACCTCCTCTCCACATTTTCCTGGAAAGAGAGGCTAGATGGACTGCATACAGACTTGTACACATTGCCAATTACACAAGTCAATTCAATGCAGAGTGCAACAGACTATTGGTTGACACTGGAAATGACCTCTGACTTTATGCCTCCAACTGTCAACTACGAACTGCCTTATAAAGTAGGTACTATTCCCGAGTAGAGAGGACTGGATCCTGCGGGAGAAGGAAATATCAAGAGCAGATAGTTGTTGGTTCACAGATGGATCAAAAACACCTTTAGATTCTGGTGCAGGTGTTTTCAGTCGCAGACCCAGGACAGAGTTATCTACCTGCCTAGGCAATTTTGCTTGTTAACGTATCCATTCAACCAAAAAAGAGCCTCGTCGCCGAACACAATTTTTCGATAAAAATGTAGATCTTCCTCCAACTTTGCCAGCACCTATTCACCAAATGTTAAACCTTGTGGGAGGTCGTGTGGCTTCAATTCTTGCACCAACTGTATCTCATAAGGTTTTACACCCAAATCCTTTTGCAAAATTTTCCACGTAGTGGAGTAACAGAGGCCTAATTGCTGCGAACGGCGGCGAATCGACATTTCACGGTCATCACGAACACTGGCGGATACAGCCGCAATATTTTCTTCGGTCCTCACTCTACGTATGAGTGTTGGTGATTTAATGTCCAATTATGTGAACTGGGTTCGAAATTAAGTCACAAGCTTTGGAATAGCTCCTTCAGTAGGCCGACGAAACCGCCCATAAATTGAAAGAAGTGCACGATGCACTTTCTTCACGGAGCATGAATTTTGATAATAAAATTCAATAATATGCAAGCGTTGTTCATTCGTAAGTCGATTCATGGTTAAATTATAGACCAAACTGAACAAGTTTGACAATGACACAAGACACGATTCACGCGTGATCTGTCAAAAACAGTGTTGCCNGAGCCTCGTCGCCGAACACAATTTTTCGATAAAAATGTAGAAAATTTCTGAAATATTACAGGCTAACTGATTGACTCACTACCGACTGACTCACTGACTTAATAACCAATTGACTGATTGACTTGCTCACTGACCGACTGACTTACTAGCGGACTAACCAATAGACTAACTCACTACCGACCGGCTGAGCCATCGACAGTCTGATCGACTCAGTAACTGACAGACTCACTCACTGACCGACCGACTCCCGTCTGACTAACTCACCGGCTGATCGACTGTCTCACTGACCGACTCACCAACTAACTCACTGATAGATTGACACATTGACTTACTCACGAACTGACTAATTCACTTATTGACTGATTCACCGACAGACTGGCTCGCACACTGACCTACTGACTCACTGTCTAATCGACTGCCCCCCCCCAACTGACTCACTAACCTAACCAAACTGACTCACTAACTCACCGACCGAATCACTGATTCATTAATCAACTCACTGACAGACCGACTCACTCAGTGATTGACTCACCAACTGACTGACTCACTCACTCACTGACCGACTGAATCACTTACTGACTGACTCACTACCTACTAACTGACTGTCTGTTGTATAACTGTTTGACTAACTAACCGACTGACTGACGAGCTGACTTTATGACTGAATAGCTCACCGACTGAATGATCGAATGATTGACTCAATGACTGATTGGATTAGTGACTTACCGTCTAACTGACTCACCAACTGACTAACTCACCCAGTGACTAACTGACTATAATACTTACCGACCGACTGACTCACTGCTGACTGAATGACTCATCGAATAATTGGCGAGCTGACTCGCTGAATGAGTGACTCACCTCTGACTGACTCACCGACGTACTTACTAACTGACCGACTCACTCATCGACTGACTGACCGAATGACTTACTCACTGACTAACGAACTGACTCACCGACTGACTGACTCACCACGGACTGACTAACTGACGGATGGAACGACTGATCGAATGATTTATCACTGACTGATCGATGCACTTACTAACCGACTCACTGACTGACTAACTCATCCACTGACTGACTCAGGGACTCACTCACTCACTGACCGACTGACTTACTCACCGACCGACTGACTAGCTGAGTGACTCATCGACTGATTGACTCACCGACTCATTCACCGACTGACTTGTCAGAAAGACTGACTCACTAACTGGCTGGCTGGACAATCTGACTGACACTAACTATTTTATTGCACATATCGCAATTCTTAAATTGTTGATTAGTATTTTCACATTTAACGATTTATCTTTGCACATATTCGTATGTTTTCAAACGTATTTTTAGTTTAATTAAAGAAGAAAGTAATACAAATGATGAAATTTGAAACAACAATAGTCAATTGGCGCTCCGGGGCGACTACATTGATTCCAGTGGCGCATTTCGAGTTTTAATTTGCCTATTATACAGAGCCGTTGTGTCCTAGTTGTTGGAATTGAGTTAAAGCATTGACATCAGCTTCAACTGAAAAGTTATAGGGATATCATTCTTAACGCCAAGTGTACTCAAGAAATTCGCTTTTTTATCTATTGAATATCTCTAATCTCATTGTCCTTTTCTCTTTTGTAAAATGTTCTGCTTGCTACTTCTTTCACAAATATATATGGGTATGTGTGGGTTCTTGTTAATAATACGTGTTAGGCTTATTCAAACCCAATAACTTCATTTAATAACACAATACAACTGAATATACTTGAGTCATATTTTGTAATTATCGCATATATTTCACTCGTTGCTTTCTTCGGTTTTGAATTACTCTCCGCGAACTGATTCAAATACAATACATTTGAACATTCCTGTTCTTTCGCAAGAAAAACAGTCTTTTAGCATGTCGTATTTCTGTCAGTGGCGGCTCATACGATTGCAATGTGCGTAACATTATTTGAATTACTCTTCCTGACTTTGCATGTCTAGTGGAATTCCATTTAATAATGCCCTCGTATTTTTCCTTATTTTCAAAATAAATGGTTAGAAGTTAGAACAATTTAAACACGTAGACAAGAATCGGATATATGATTGGTGTTACTGAATACTGAACAAATGATATAACCACCTTTCTGCTCAGGACAGATTGAGTTCAAATGTTGCATCTACGAACCAATCTATCACCTTTCACTGATGATGTCTACAGCAGAAACTGGTTTTGGATCATGAATGCGACTCTTTTGAGTCTGATATCATCCGTTGCATGGTGTCTTCATAGTTATCGCCTAGAAGTTCGTTTCAAGATTTTTAGCGACTATTTTAATTGAATAATGTCATGTGTAAATTAAGTATAATTATACCACCCTTTTTTTCTGGGGACACAGTTCACAAATCTTTTCAAATGCACTATGTAGTTACCCAAAGTCTGTATATAACTATTCATGAATAACAACATAGCACTTTCACGTAAGAATGATACTTTCTTTGTTTTCTTTGAAACCACGACATGCACCTTGCTTTCTACTAACCTCTGCGACACTAAAAGGTAAATATGTACGTTATTTACAGATATTTGGATAAATTATTGGATGATCCTAGCATTAGGATACAAGACGCAGATAGAATATTCGAATCGGTGGCAAAGAACAAAATTGGAACCTCCATTGCATTCGATTTCTTGAGGAAAAACTGGAACGATCTTTTGAGCCAGTAAGACATACATGGAAAATGATGAGAGTGTTGAAAGTTTTTTCATCTTTTTTCCGGGTAAAATTTTTACTCGTTACAAACTATACTGTGTCCATCTGATTGCTCCAAAACATTATTATGCCTAAAGCACGTGACCTCCCAGACAAGGCTGCTTGTACAGAGTCGCACTAAGGAACGACCGAAAGTTTATTATTTATTTATGATAATATGCAGCTGGGTATAAGAATTTCTTTTAGATGGAGTGTAGGGACACAAATTAGCAGTTACTTGAGGCATATCAGTACTAGACATTTAAAAAGCTTGAAAAATTACTGTACATGTACACACCACAGGCTTTAAAATGTAACTGACCACTCCGACACTGTAACAAGGAATTCCGCCAGCCGATTGCAGTTCAAACTGATTGGCCAGCGTAAGGAGGCTTGTTTATTTTATCCAATAGATGCAAATGTTCGTGGGTTACTTTGTTTGTCGGATGGATATAGTTTAGGTACATTTTGATGGCCCAATCTTTATTTTTCCTACACTATTGATTCCTTCAAAACAAACCCCTGTTAACTGTCAAAACTACATTTTTTTTTCAGCGAAAATCGAGAAAACTGGTATTGGGATCACTACCTGGAAACACCGGAAATCGCGACTTATTTGGTAGCGTTTATGTTATCCGATTTGAGGCGCGGCTCAACTAACGACCCCCTTATAAAAGTGTGGTCCAGAGATAGTTTGGTACGGCAAACAACTTACGCTAACGAAATCTCACCAAAAATTCTTCACTACTTCGAAAACTACTTCGACATCAAATTCCCCCTTCCGAAAATCGACATTGTTGCGGTTCCTGAGTTTGGATTCAGTGCCATGGAGAATTGGGGATTGATTACTTTCAGGTGAGGAATTTTCTGGAAAATTGGATTCGATGAATACATAGACTGTTCAAAAAAATAAGTGAAATGTTCAAATTTCGCGAGCTATTTACATTTGACAAGCTATGTACATAAATAATCATTCGAGAGAGCTAGTCTAAGATATTATCTCAAAAATCAGTGAAATCAAAACCCAAAAATAGGATTTTCCGTTTTTATATGCTAATATTCTGTAATTTTCAGAGAGAGCAGTTTACTTTTTGATCCAGCTGTCTCCACAAATGAAGACAAACGAACAATTGCGACTGTTTTGGCTCATGAAATTGCACATCAGTGGTTTGGAAACTTAGTCACTCCCAAATGGTGGAACGACCTGTGGCTAAAAGAAGGATTCGCTACTTACATGGAGTATTTTGGGGTTGATCATGTAAGAATCAATGTTTAATTTCTTCTTCTATATCTTCAGTAAGATGACACCTTAACAAGTCGAGTTGATCATGAGAAAAGCACATCACATATTTATATGTGATATTATATATGATATATGAAAATTAATAATTGTGAATAACGGAAAAAACAGATTTTTCAAACAGATTTTAATGATAAAAGAACAGAAATATATTGTTGAAATACACAGTATTATTCATGTAAAATACAGAGTAGGTAATATATAATTTATAATAGTCCAATCGTGATAACCAGTGTGGTAAATAAATAAAGAAAGCCCACAAAGGCAAAGCCTGTACGTGGGTATTAGTTATTGATTTGGAAATAGACAAAACAAGATTCAAAAACACAATTATCAAAAAAAAGTTCATACCAAATCCCCTGTTTTTTTCAATAGCATGGGGGTTGAGTGTTACATCATTAGAAAGGTGTTTTGTCCCTCTATTACTTCTGAAATTTTTTTTCTAGATTGTTTTTCCAACGACGTTTCATCTTCTTGTTTGTTCTTGTATACGGTTAGAACGCCTTAGTGCAGGTATTTGTCCTCTCCTTTCATCCGGATGTCTCTTTAAATTTGCCTGTACTTGGGTTACATCAGGTAACACCAACACAAAGGATATTACCAGATGTGACCCAAGCACAGACAAATTTAAAGAGACATCCCGATGAAAGGAGAGGACAAATACCTGCACTAAGGCGTTCTAACCGTATAAAAGAACAAACAAGAAGATAAGACGATCAGTTTGAGTAGGGCCAAGAAGATGATAGCACAGCTTGCTATCGAAAGCGCTCGCATAGAATAATTAGAAGTTATCAAAGCTTCAAATCCTTTTTGTGAAGAAATGTTTACTTTTTCAATAAGCCACGTTGGATGAACTTAGTTGTGTTTTGAAAAGAAATGGGTTCACTTCTGTCTATCTACATCGTAGACCATTGATGATAATGCATAACAGAATTTTGAAAAAACGTATTAATTTACCATTAGATTTTTTGGAAAACTGAACAGAAATGTATAAAGATCTTTTACAAAAACTAATATCAATAATCTCCCCCAAAAACCTTTCAATTTTAAGTAATAGCATGCATTATTATGAAACACAGAAGACGATGACATCTACCCTTACGAAGATGCCATCTATTGGATTGGTAGAGAACTTGAAATTCATGGATTCACAGCAGCTGATAATACCAAATACGCTGATACAACCTACAGCAGACCAAAAGTGAAAAGTGAAATCAAATCCTATAAAAATGATTTGTCCAAAGAACCCTCTTTCAATCTCATTCCATTTTCGTAGGCAGAACCTTCTTGGAAAATAAAAGACGAATTCCTTCCGTCTGAAACAGCCAGAGCCATGGCCATCGACTCTTTGGAATCATCAAGGCCAATATCTTTCGAAGTGAAAAACAGCCGACAAATTCGACAAACGTTTGACGAAATTTCATATGCCAAAGGTAAGTAGACTACAAACGGAAAATCTTCAATTTCTCAAAATATATTTTCAGGAGCTGCCATCATAAGAATGATGAACCATTTTCTGGGTGAGAACGTCTTCAAGAGGGGGCTGATAAACTTCCTCAAAAAACATATTAACGGTAACGCCGATAGACTGGATTTGTTTACAGCTCTCACGGAAGAAGCGCACAAGACCAAAGCACTCGAACCAAACGAAACTGTTGCACAAATCATGAACACGTGGACAGAGAGACCAGGTTTTCCTGTCGTTCATGCAATCGCTGACTATCAAAATAATAATCTGCATATTCTCCAGGTGAGTTCAATTATTATGATTTGCGAGAAGCAATTAATAATCCTTGAATAATTTCCTCAGAAACGATTTTATCTATTCGACAAAGACGAAAAATCTTCTTGGTGGGTACCGTTACCCTTTACGACCTACCAGGCACCCAACTTTACAGATACAAAACCGAAATTCTGGCTGAGAGGAGAGTACGAAATCGAAGAGAAGGTCAATTTCACGAAATGGTACCTTCTGAACATTGATCAAACAGGTAGGAACGCTGTGTATGATATTGAATAATTTTTTTACCAAAACACTTTTTTTTAATCGAAATATGAAAAAATTGTTACAAAATGGATGGGTTAGGTTAGGTCGGAAGAGAGTGGGTCTATTCTATCCTCCACCGCAACCCGCAAGGTTTGTGGTGGAGATTCGAATAGACCCTCCACTGCATATGATGATTCAGACGACAGTGACCTGTTAGAAGCAGTGACGGCTCGTGCATTGGAGAACAAGGGAGGCTAAAGTCATAAAGACTATATACACACAGAAAAGCCCGCCGGAGGCGCGAAATTTTTCATGTTGTTGCACGCTTTGCACACTATACTCGAATAATAATGTAAGAGTTTTTCTCTTTCAATGATACCTAAACACAATAACATGATGGTGTTACTGGTGGCGCCCTCTCTTGTCTACTTGGACTACTTATCCCAGCCTCATACTCTCAGTATCTGAGGTCACTTGACCGACCATTACTTGATCTCGGAGAAAACTTTGACTCAACTCCACTAACAATACGTTGTCCATGGGCTTAATGCAATAGGTAATTATTTTTGAATTCATCTCATACGCTACATCCCAAATCTCTTATACCAAACTTCTTATACAACAAATAAACGAATTATGTAAATATAGTGTCTTTCATTTCAAATTGGGACTGTACCTAGAGGATGGTTATCACAAGAAACTAAACACTGAAATATAGTGAAACAAAAATTACATTGACAAAATGCTAATCTTTATTGTTCGAAATACAAATGAAAAATATTGCCTATCGGAAGTGTTGAAACACTGGCAAAATCCAAATTGCGTCTGCCGTAAATAGTTCTGGGATATTTTCAAACCGAAAGCGGGTCCTTTGTCATTTTCAAAAGTTTATTCTCATCTAGAACCCGCACCCTGCTCGGAATTATCAGTGAATATGGCTTCGGAGGAAATAATTTACAATAAATACATAAATAATATTGTCAACTGACGACGGCATCACAAAAATATACAAAATGGATTGGTGATGTAGCTTTTTGCACTTAGAGTAGAGTAACAATATATCACAAAAATTGGCAACGTTATGATTTGCAGCTTTAATACTATTATATTGATATTTGAAAAATACTGTAGCAGATAGCTCAATAGTATAAAACTATTTATTCTTCAATACTGTACATAGTGTACATCAAGAATTGAACATTTGTAAAATAAACTATTCCAAGTAAACACTTCCACAGTTTGATAATATAAGCAACATGCTCTTCAGTATAGAAAATATTGGGGAAAACTACTAACTTTCGGATGTTTTGATTTTTGTATTTCTTGGTTCAATAAACCAATGAGCAACATGAGCAAAAAATTTGAAACTCATGCTTCGCATGAATACGTATGTGAGAATGCTACAGAATATTTTAATATCAACAAAAATATTAACATGGATTATACAGCATTTTATGATCAACAGTAAAGAAACTAGTACTTTGGCTACCTATTGTCCATGACAACCTGTTTGAAACTTTGTACGCCTGTAGACATTTGGGATTTGACTTCGTGGTTGCCCAGAGCTGCAGTGCCATCTTTGGCTATGAAGAGTTGAAGACCTGATGCTGAAAATTAACAAAGGTATTACTGATTTTTCACTCAGCGGAGCATACCACATGGAATGAACAATTCATAACAACAACCAACACAATAAAATTGGTGTACCTCAAAGCGCCGTCACGGGGCTAGTTTTATTCACCCTTTGTATAAATTAGCTACCAAACATTTCATCAGATACCTTTTCCCGTTCATAAAACACTTCTGTTCACAGAGAAAGACGAACGTATTTTCAAAAAACTCAATTCAATATTTCAAAAAACTCAATTCAATATATCTATCTGGATGGTACTGTCGTAGTTCTTCATTTCTCATTCCATATCAGATAATAATGTATGCATTTTTAGTTTCGTTAGTATAAGAAAACTGCAGATTTCAGTCTCAAATTAAAAGATCTGTTTTTATGTACCTGACTCTTGTCGTGTCCTATAACTCGAATGAGCTTTTTAAATGGTGTGGACAAATTTCTATTCCACCAAACTGAGACTCAGAGAACGACTTCCTAAAGCATTGTCAAATGCTTCTTCAATTTCTTGATAATGAAGGAGCATTTGACAATGCACTACCTAAATCTATAGGATTGTCTCTGGCTAGAAAGGGTGTAGGATCGACCATAACTGGCTGGATCTATGTGATCGCTCCTGGTGGATAGTCTGCTTGATGCCCTCGACAGAAGAAAAGTTGATCTGCAAGCTTATGCAGGGACGCGTTGGACGTTGTTCACAGTTGGTGCCTGAGGGAGCAGATGTCTGTCAACCCCAGCAAAACTGTGTTAATCCCCTTCACCAAGAGAAGGAAATTGGACGATCTAACGCCACTTTTCCTCAATGGTGTGGTCATTCTATTTGGATCGGAGGTGAAATATCGTGGCATTGTCCATTCAACCAAAAAAGAGCCTCGTCGCCGAACACAATTTTTCGATAAAAATGTAGATCTTCCTTCAACTTTGCCAGCACCTATTCACCAAATGTTAAACCTTGTGGGAGGTCGTGTGGCTTCAATTCTTGCACCAGCTGTATCTCATAAGGTTTTACACCCAAATCCTTTTGCAAAATTTTCCACGTAGTGAAATACCAGAGGTCCAATTGCTGCGAACGGCGGCGAATCGACATATAACGGTCATCACGAACACTGGCGGATACAGCCGCAATATTTTCTTCGGTCCTCACTCTATGTATGCGTGTTGATGGTTTGATGTCCAATAATGTAAACTGGGTTCAAAATTTAGTCACAAGCTTCCGAATAGCTCCCTCAGTAGGCCGTCGAAACTGCCCATAAATTGGAAGAAGTGCACGTTTCACTTTCTTCACCGAGCATGCATTTTGATAATAAAATTCAATAATTTGCAAGCGTTGTTCATTCGTGAGTCGATTCATGGTTAAATTTTAGATCAAACTGAACTAGTCTGACAATGACACAAGACACGATTCACGCGTGATCTGTCAAAAACAGTTTTGCATTATATAAATCAATATTGTCGGGCAACCAAACAGCTTTGGAAGCGCTTGGCTGTTCAGTAACGTCCAATTAGTAGGTCAACTGACTCTGTACCTATCCCGTTGTTTGACCGAGTTCTGGGTGAGCTACAATAAACCCTTGAACCGGTGTGAGGAATAGACTAGCTCACACCGAACCTAAGAAAATGCATGTACATCGAGTCTGAAGACGTCACAATTTGATAACATTTATATTTCAGTTTTGTATGTATTGATATTTTTGAGATTTATCTTCCGGCGGGATTATAACATGTTTTTGAAATAATATTATCATTTGCTGTTTTGTGATGGTGATACGTTTTATGAACTTGTATATGTTAAAAACTAATACAAATAAGAAACATTCGATTTATGTCTCATTTCTCTCCAATACTAGGTACTTACTTTCAGCCGAGTCATCGGGTGGCTCAAGATTTGTACTTTTCAACAGTTCCTCTATCAAGTCGTCAGGGTTCACTCTGGTGGTTTCCACTCTTCCGGAAACAGCACTGTCGGGATCTTGAGATTGGATCTTTTTCCGCCTTTCGTATGCGGCTTTGGCCCTGTCCAGGGATCCAGTTTCGGAAAGCACCAAACTACTAGCACTGGGATTTCTAAAACGAATAAGGATTTTCAAATAGCGATTAAGGTTTTGGAAAGAATGGCGCGATGCAAGCACATAAACACAAGACTTGGTTGACAAGAGCAGCAAAGCATCAAAAGCGTTCAAACGTCCCGTATGAGTCCTTATGGAACAGTTCCACTGTAATTTTTCGTTGAAATCTTTGGAATGTAAGCCTACCTTGAGGATCCATTCTTGAAGCTCTTTTTTGGAGTAACAATTCTGATGGAAAGTAACAGTAAAATCATATCTATTTATTTTTAATCTTCTACACTTTGACGACTACCTACCTAGAGTATACAACAAAAAACAAACGTGCTCTACTTACAGATGGATATTAGTGTACAGTCAATTGGAATCCTATGAACAATAAGTATTATTCGTAGGACCCGATGCTGATGATACATACACATGCATTCATTTTTGAAACCTTCCCAAGAAGTTATCTCGAAATGAAAACATCCATCGCTGCGTCTTTTTTTATGGCTTTTGCAAATCCAATACAAAGTTAACAATGTAAGTATGAAAGTATCAAGTATCAAGTATAGGATAAAGAAAATAAGAGGATTTTTCTCCAGAGTTTGTACATCTCCATAACATAGACCGGTTCAGTTTTCAAGAAACTTCTACCAAATGGTTTCAAATAATGTAGATATGGAAATTTTTCACGGCAAGTCGTCAATTAAAAGTAGCACAAGTTGCAAAATGTTAGTCAGGTTCAGAGTTGTCGACATGAGCATTAATCTCTATTCATACAGAGTGTTGATGTTGGACATTGAAATTTTAAAAACTAAAAACCGGATTTAGTAAATGTACTGCAACGAATCTGAAGCCGGTCCTGGCCGATATCTCAGCCAGCAAACACATGACTCACCGCGAACCGCCGCGAAAAGTGTAGATGAGTACCGAAACCACTAGAGGAACCTAGAACAATCGTTACCGATATAAAAGGTCGGGTCCTCGCACAGAAAAGCGAATCAAGCGGTAAACAAAGAATTCGAACAGTGAAGATAAATTAAGCGTTAGTTGCTAAGTGTTGAATATAAATTAGTTCTGATAGTGAAATACTGTTGAAAATAAATGTGTTTAAGACAGTAAATGCTTTAATTCGTTACAATTGGTGTCAGAAGTGGGATGAAGAAGGCCTATGACATCAAGGCGAATGCTGGAGGATTCGAAACCGGTAACCTAGTTAGGCTGTACAATCCTAAGCGACGCCGTGGTTTATCACCGAAGTTGCAGAACTCGTGAGAGGGTCCCTACAAAATCATGAAAAAGATTAATGACCTCGTCTACCGAATCCATAAACCACCTCGAGGAAAGCCTAGGGCCGTCCATTTTAATAGATTGGCTCCTTATGCTGGAAATCACGACCAAGTTCACGCCCTCAGACCACAAGAGGATGAAATGACGTTCCAGCAATTCATGTCCTTATACTCGAACGGACAAAAGGTCGTACATGGGGTAACTTGAGAAGAGCCACGAGACCTTTTGAAGGTTCCACTTGATTATGCACTAGCTCACGGCGTGGCAGAGGATCACCAAATGTCCAAGGGTATCGCTGTGGTATTCAACAAGAAGTTCGGTCAGCTCCAAACATTACGAGAACAGAATCCAGAAGTCGGAGGAGTGCTACAATTGAAACATGATCAGAGGAACATTTTCTACTTGGTGACCAAAAAGCATTTTAGAGACAAACCGTCCTATGAAGATGTCTGGAGAAGTCTTACTAGACTGAAGGAGACGATGCTCGACCATAATCTCGTGGACTTGGCAAACCCGAAATTAGCCTCTGGGCTAGACAGGCTGGACTAGAGAATTGTGAGAAGCATGTTGGAAACGATCTTCAGATCCAGCGGCATCAAGATTCTGGTGTGCGGTAACAATCTTCCACGACCGAGCATGAAGACTGTGGAGTGTTACTTCCATCGAACTTCACACTGCAGATATGAGGAGTCCTGCAGGTATCGACACACGCCAAGGATGACATTTCGGGGCGAAACGTCTTTAAGAAGGGAGCAATGTAACGAATCTTAAGCCGGCCCTGACCAATATCTCAGCCAGCAAACACATGACTCACCGAGAACCGCCGCGAAAAGTGTAGTTGAGTACCGAAACCACTAGAGGAATCTAGAACGATCATTACCGATATAAAAGGTCGGCTCCTCGCTCAGAGAGGGAGTTTGTATTCAGAAAGCAAATCGAGCGGTTAAACAAAGAATTCGAACAGTGAAGATAAATTAAGCGTTGGTTGCTAAGTGTTGAATATAAATTAGTTGTGATAGTGAAATATTGTTAAAAATAAATTTGTTTAAGACAGTAAATTCTTCAATTCGTTACAGTACCCTTGTTCATTTCAATAATTTTTAATTAACATGAAATTTCGGTTTATATCAACATATATCTGAATTTCTAATGAAAATTTGCCGTGAAATACATTCCAGTTAGTTAGTTTACAGAATAGGTTACGAAATAGAGCCAACTATAGATAAATAGGAACATGTGGCAAGAGAATTCCGTGACGCCATTGAAAGAAAATAACTTGTTAGCAGTTTTGATGAGAAATAATTCATTTATTGTATCATTTTCTTCACTGATGAATTTGTTTGTTCATAATAAAAATGTCTAGACATCTAATTTGTTGTTTGAAAACTTGTAAAAGCACGTAACTCCTAACACTTGCAATAGAGAAATGGTTTTCCTTAGATTTTCTAAAGATGTTTTACTGTGGTCATAGTGGTGATTGGAACCCAAATACCTGTGTTCTGTTTAAAAAAAGTAATATTGCGACAAATTTCAAGAACGCTTTTGAAAAATAGTTCGTAAACTTTAGTCGTACCTCTCTTTAAATAAAATTATTACTATGTTGAGCCATTTTCAAAAAAAAAATTCACAAATCAGGAGTACCCACATCAGTTATATCGTCTTGGCTTTTCTGAACGCTGAACTGTAATCACTAACTTTTAAATATGACCTAATGGATCGCTCTGAATCAAAATTTCATGGTATATATTTTCATAACCATCTTGTCCTTCATCAAATCATATACATAATAAGAATATTTTATTATTATACTTACTACCAAGTGAAATGTATGTATATTAGCGGTGCCTACATTAGTAATTATCTTGGATATACATCACTTCAAATTTAGCGCTATTTTTCATCCAATGACGTCATAAACATGGCGACCAAAATTGTTGACATTCCCCAGCCCCTCCTATAAACTAACCTTGGTTACAACAAAGCGATGGACAAACAAACGCACAAGCAAACAAAAAGACATCGAGCACTACCAGGCAAAGACACTAACGTCGTGACGCTGGGACGTCTCAGTGATGTCGGGTTTAGTGAATCGGATGAAGCATTGGTTGTGATGGTGATTGTGGGCTGATCGTCGTCGGGACTGATCGCCACTGGGGCTAGCTTACCTCCGGGAGCCCCGTCTAATAGCTTCCGGTGAGGCACCCTGCAAATCGACATCCAACAGACCCCAATGAGGTTATTGATGAAATAACGTGATTAGCATCACTACACAATTTTGAATATATATATGGCGATTCGAGGACCTTATCTTACATCGAGTTATTATGATTACATCATTTTCAACTACTGATGATGCTAACTTGATTAGAGAAACGTTCGTTTTCTTAAACTTGTATGATTGATGACCTAATGATTTAAAATAACTTTCATCTAATTTCTAGTAAGATTTTCAGTAATATAGCTAGAGTAGTTCTCGCCTATCCTTATGGGAAAAACACGTGTAAATTTGAGCAGGTTCATTCTGGACCTTTTTGGTCCTCAGGCGTACTTCACACGGAAGGGGCAAAGGTCAGCGTCTCGTCTCTGCCAGATATCCATTATGTGTAAACTGAGCCTTAGCCTTCGAAGCCCACTTGAAACCACATCCACTTCTCCCGTCATACAGTCGACCAATCAGAAGCTATCACGCGTACAGCGGGAAATTCAAATCCAGTAGATGAACAACACCGATTCTAGCCCACTTCAAGGTCGTGCGTCACTGGTAAGTATTTCAGGGAGAAACTTTAGTGAGTGGAAGTGGTCTGAACTGGGCTTTGAAGGCTAAGGCTCAGTTTACATATAATGGATGTTTGACAGAGACAAGGTGCTGACCTTTGCCCCTTCCGTGTGAAGTGGGCCTGAGGTCCAAAAAGGTCCAGAATGAACCTGCCCAAATTTACACGTGTTTTTCCTATAAGGAATGGGCGAACATTTTCATGTACTACTTGGGTAGAAATTGGACAAAAATTATTTTCTTTATACTGCTGATTAGTCTGTAAATATACCAGTATAAAAGACCAAAATGAAGGTAGTTATAGAAAAAAATTATGACTCAAGAAAATAATAATTGAATTGAAAAAGCTTGATACGCGATTGTAAACATGAAACATATACGAAACAAATATATGAATTACCTTTCCCAAAAGTAGTAAAAGATAAAGATTAATCTGGTTTTTGGTTTGGTGGTCAAAGATGAAACAGGCGACAGACATATCACATATACACACCTTATATACCTCAATTCGTCAATAGTTACATATTCCCACAATGTAATAGATAATGTTATGATCTGACCCGTTACAATTTCCACAAAGGTTTTTTTAATTCTAGACGGTACTACCTTCGCTAAACGCGTCTAGAATAAGAAAAATGTGACATCTTGTCCCGTTCAAAACTTAAGAGGGGGGAAGAGCTTTTTACTACCGCACTGTTTAGTTATTATCAATTGAAGCTAATAATTGTAAATGGCAAAATCTACCCTAAAAATAGTAATCTGCAGTATTAGAGCATAAAAAATATTAGTAGGTTAGAGACAAAAATATGTGCTACGTGTTCAGAAAACATTGAAAATATAAGTGCTTCATCAAAGACCGTCAAGAATGTTTATTATGCATTAATAATAATAATAATAATAAGTCAAAGGTAATTTGTGATATACGTACGATCAAGCGAAGCCCAATGCCAGGTCTGGAAATTCTTGAGTGGTTTGTGAAATTAAGGAGCAGAAGAGGAGAATGTGAAAGAATGAAAATGCTAAATAAATTCGTCAACTTCATTGATACTGATGACTAACTATTGATGGTGAGCCGGTTCAACCACAAATTCAAACAAGGTGTCTTCAAAATTGATTATTTTCATAGTTTCGCGTCTGTTGTTCAACATTATCGATAACTACTACACCCACAAGCGAAAAGTATAGAAAAATCGACTTTTTCATTTCGTAATTCCATCATCAATTTAATTGGTTATTATTTTTCAAACTTGCTACTACTAATAAGTGCATACAGAAAAATTACAATTTTAATACAAAAATATAACGAACACATGATTTTTTCAAGTCTACAGAATGAACAGAAGGCTCAAACCACATCATAAATGAGGCGCCTTTAAAGCATTTTGAAAAATTAAGAAACGTAAGAAATAATGAATTCGACGTTCTTCAATTTCAACCCTGTTTGAACTTATGTTAAATTATAACTCAGGTTAATATCTCAAGGAATAATGAATATTACTGATTGAAATGAAGGTTTAATGAAGTAAGAAGAAGCATTTTCTCTGATATCATCAAGAGTTCTCTTGATCAACCGACAGATATTAAACAGGTAGAGTATGTCAATTTTCTTCACTTTCAAGTATTACAGTCCACTTTGAGTCGTAATCTAAAGCACAATAAACGTTTTCAAACAGAAATGAATTGTTTCAATTTCAATACAAATGAATTCTGAAAGAATTGAAAAAAAAGTAATTTCTATGTAATTTAATGTTCATGAGGAAATTGGATTTTTTAGGGCGGGGAAGACGGTACGACGGTTGATGTAATGATAGAAATCTCCCTTGAATTAAGAATAGACCTGTTCTGCATTTTTTACTCAACGAATGTGTCTTGAAAATATTCAATCTGTTTTGTTTTTGGTGCTTCACAGTGTATAAAAAAATAGAGATGGTTCCAAATTGCACCTAGTTAGAGAACAAAGAAAACCCACATATTCTTATACCAAAACTTTAGTCACAGTAATTTGATTATATCACATTAACCTTGAGATATCAACTTGAGACTACTGAATTGATTTGTTAGAATTAAAAAACCCAAAACGTCAAAAAGAAAAACAAGTCGCAAGTAGCGATGAGAAAGACAAAGAAGCAAAAGAAAAGAAACCAAAAAAAAGATAGTAACAGCAAAACCAAAAAATAAAAATGTGTACTCTACCTTAGCGCAGGATGAACCGAAAGCCAATCATTTCCAGACTGTCCGGACCTCAGTGAGCTCAGGGAAGTCGTACGCGTGTCTGGCAAGCTTTTCAAAACGGGAGTGGGGGTAACGGTGGTGAGGAGAGAGGGCCGAGTACCCGAACCGTTACGATCGGTGACGCTTTTCCTTTTGGGACGCGGCGTCAAAAAAGAAAACAAACTGTCCGAACTAAAGAATCTACTACTGAAAGGCTTCTCCGGCGGAATGATAGGCATTCGAGGGATCTGGAACTCGCTTTTGGATCTCAGCACGCCCTCGGAATTTTTCTTATTCTTCTCGATCTCCTCCAAACTCAGTCTGTTGCCGTGGCAGGGCTGCTTATCGTGGGTGGTGTCGGACCTGCGATTCTCCACCAAGCCCACACCTAGAGTATCGTCATCAGCCCTAACCCTTTCGACAACCGAAGTAGATGAAGACTTCTGCAGTTCGTTGAAATTACGAGGGAAGACATTATTAACAAAACTCACTTCCGGAGTCGCGTATTCGTCATTGCTGGAGTTGCTGACGTAACTGTTTTGGGAGAGGAAACCCCTCGGGGTGGAGTAGCAGGAGAACTCGAGTTCGAGGGCGGATTTGATCGGGGTCGAGGTCATCGAGGCTTTGGGCGTGGAGAAATGTTCGAAATCGGAAGAGGGGATAGTGTTGGGGATATTGAGTTTTTTCAGGTGGTTGGGTCGGAAATATGCGGAGGTGGTGTTTGAAACGTTGCGTGCCAACACGGTCCGGCTAGGTAGGTCCCTAACATAAATAAATAAAAATATGTATTGCATGCATCCGAGTAGCCCTATAAAAAAAAAGCTAGCATACATTGGTTTTATACAGTGCTACTGGATGTTGATTCTTGACCGGTCGGTCCGTACTTAGAACCGATCAACTACAACACCCAATAGAAAAATAAATATAAGCCGGTGATGGAAAAATAAATGACTGCTATTCAGCTGAAAGATTATGTACATACGTTTCCATAAGGAAAAATTAGATGAGGGTTTTTAAAACCTTGTTGGCGTCAATTTTCGTTGAAATAGAAGTGATACAGTTGAATTGTACTATACAGTGTGGTCCACTAAGTGTGCAACAAATGGGAAACTTTTTTATTATCGATTTATCAAATTCCTGGTAATAAAGTTCGAACGAGTTCAATAGCCTCACAAAACGAGACAATTTCAATTTTATTGCGGGATGGCGTCTAAATCTGTTATTGAGTTTGACATCCCGAATATACTCTATTAATACAAAACCAAAATTTCAATGAGTAGATCGGTACTTCTTGATAAAGAACCCACTATTTCAAGTCAACTTCAATCACTTCAATTTTCACGAAAATATAAGTATAGTAAGGTTTCATTAAACCCGTTACTGATTAAAAAAAAACTATGATTGTATGCGAATTAAAACTGTTCCTTTCTAAATTTCGTGAAAGTTAACAATTTTGAAAAAAAGTCTGAAAATATTCGTAATAATTTTTCAATCATAATTTTTTTGGGTTCTTCTCAAGACATGTTGATGAAAGCTGCACTGCTGAAACGTCACATTATTTTACTACAAGTTTTTTATACTTTCAAAGCTATGGTATCAAGTATATACAACAGGATTTTCAGACTTCTCAGTTTCAATCATCGTACAATCTTTGATGGAAGAAATTCAAAACCTTTTTTTTTTAACTACACCTCTACTTCTATTGCCACTATTGCATTATTACAGACAACTAATGTTTGAAATTGATATTTTTTCCTTAAAATGTGGGAATCTGGGACACGTTGATTTGTATGTGAAAAATTCGTCAGATCAGTCCCCCAGGAACGAAATGAAATGTAGACGGGAAGAATCCATTTTCTAAAACTTAAACATGGTTAACTTTCAAACAAGTCTTGCTGCATCTCAAGGATTTGAATATTTTATTCTAGGAATGGCACTCCTAGTAGTCTACTTCATCTACTGAAGATGCCAACTTGGTTGTCGAAACGCACAGAAGTATTCTATTAGGTTGTTTCAATGCCTTATGTTCTTGCCAAATTTTTTTTTCCTCTTTTCAGCCTAGTACTATATGAAGTCGTCAAACGATTTTCAACCAATGTTTCTCTACGAATTCAAACTGATCCAAAAAGCTGCCGAAACAGCCCTAAAAATGAACCAAACATTTGGCAATGATAGTGTTGATGAAGGCACTGTTTGACGTTCGTTTGCGAAATTTCGTTAAGGAGATTTTAGCCTCGAAGATGAGTCCCGAAGTGGTCGACCTACAGTAATCCAGGACCAGGATTTGAGGACTCTGATGGAGACTGACCCATCACAATCGGTGCCAAAGATGACGGAAGAACTGGGAGTAGATGAGCTATAGGGATTCTGTGACAGGAAGTGGCTTATCAATGTTTGTTCATGTGGCATTATCGCTGTTTGAGAGATAACGATTCGAGTATGATTATGAGAACAATAATATTGGGTATACAAGGTGTTGTTTGAAGGTGGATGACAATGTTTCGTGGTGTATTTCATCAGTTCGGACTTCCATTGTCTAATATAATATAAATTGATTTGATAACCCTGAAAAAATCAAAAAGATTAACCGAAAATAACAATTTTATTTAACAAAAAACTGAAATTAGAAAGAAATAACATACGAGCAACAACCAAACAAATAAATCAAATGCTATATAGGGTGTGTGCAGCGTTAAAAAAAACATGGTTGCCTGCGTCAAAGAAAAAAACATGGCTTCTATGGAGGAAGACCGGGTGCGTTTGCAGCGTTTGAAGAAAAGTTGCCATGGAGCTATACAAGGTGTGCAGCGTCAAAGAAAAAAACATGGCTGCCAGCGTTATAGAAAAACATGGCTGTCAACGTTAGAGAAAAAAAAACATGGCTGCTATGGAGGTATACAGTGATCACATCCAAGAGGATAATTGAATCCTCCTCTCGAAGATGATCACTTGGTGATCGAAACACGTGTTGCTGTTGGGATAAAACCCCAGTAATATTCATAACTACACCAAAGGTTCCAAACAGTGCATCACAAGTTCAAAATTCCCACATGACACAACCAAATCAAAAACCTCATTTGTCATTACATCGAAATGGTGGTAGCAACACACTTGTTTGTTTCTATCAGTTTTCCAATCAACCGAAATATACCCATGCAAATGAAATTCCCCCGAATGTTTCAAACGATTCCTTTCCAAAGACCCAACCCGCATTCCCGTATCCACTTCCAGACCTACATATATAAATAGTGAAACGGCTCTCACCTGATATGACCCGAATCTCCAGAACTCGATTGCCTGCTGTGCGACAAGGAGTGTATGCTGCTGTATCCGGAAGCTTTGGACAATTGGCTGGTGTTGGAAGAGTTTCTGGAATGTCCGTGCTCGCCGCGAACATCGTGTATGTCGTGATCGGCCGGAGCCGGAAGCAACGAGGGTACGGAAGACGCCGTTTGAGTTGTTAGTGCTTCGTTCCAGTCCGTTGCTATAGAAACGGGGACGTTGTTTTCTGATAATGTTTGTCCTATTACTAGATCTGCGAAAAACGTAATTATTTATTTGCCTAGACTTTATATTACAAGTTGTAAAGAATAATATTTCAACTTATTGTTTGTGATCCTACCGACTGCGCCAATTGTAAAGAAATATTGACATGGTTCTCCAGCTACTCATTTGACAACAAATGAAATTCCTGAAATTGTGTCAAAATACTATGTCAGAAGCACCAAACGACTATCATATTTTCAAGCGCTCTGATAACTCTGTCACTGGTAGAACCTTCGCCAATCAGGTCCAGGCAAAAATAGCCTTCGTCGTCTTCATCCATTCCGAGGACAAAATTTTCATGCTGAAGGGGAATTATTTGACGTGTGTTAAGTTGGCAAAAGAGCAGTAATTCAAATGAGGCTGAATAAGTATTCACTGAGATATTACAGTTCAAAGTAGGCTAACATTCAGATTCGGTACTATAATTTTATCTTTTTGATGTTCAAAAATAATTAATTTGAGTAAATTCAAAGTTGAATGAGTGAATGAAAATTTCAAGTAAAAGCAGTAGCAGTTTTCTCTTTAGAATTATTTACTGCAAAATCCCTTCGGACGCCACTGGAAAAAAATCATGACATACACAGAAAATGTCTGTTAATGCGTAGAAGCTATGTAATACGTTTTACAAAAATGTAGGATATCATACAAAAGTTATCATAAAAAACTATTTTTTTTCTTAAAACTTCAGCAACATGCTAAAACCTGCCGTTAAAACCTTCAACTTTTTTACCTTGAATGTAAATTATTAAAAACGGCGTGTATAATCCTGAAAGTTGATTTATAATCCATATAATACAGATGTTTCAACTTCACTGATAATTTCATTCATTCAATGTTCGAGTCTGACAGGAATTTCATTCACAAATTTCTAAAGGCTTTCATTTCTGTGTACCCTTTTCTATATTACGTAGAGCAAACCTTGGAGACGAGAGATATTGTGGAAAAGTCAAGAGTTCCGTCCTATCTCGATGGCGAGTATACAGCAAAATGTAATAAGCTATAATCCGCTTTATCCTCAACCGAACATGGAATGGAGACCATTAATTTAATTTGTATTCAGTGATAAAGCTCCGCACAATTCAATTTCGTGAAATATACCAGAATATTGAAAAAAGATTATTGAAAACTGGGAACTGGACTAAATGAAGATTTTAATTTCGTTAAGTAAATTGGCGAAGGCGCAAGGTTGGAAAATAGAGTTGAATATCCATGGATATTCTGAACCCTTTACGCAGGGTAAATTACCTCGATCGTAATTTATAATTCAAAGGAGGAAACCACTTTGAAGAAGCGCTGAAGCCATACCAGAGCTAGTGTGGAAATGTGGTCATATGATTGGAAATACGATTTTTTACGGTCTGAAATCGCGATAAGTCAAGAACGGTGCTTTCTGTAAAAAAAGTAATGACACCATTTTGGTAGAGAATTTCACGATTCAAAAACTTTCTGTCAAACGTTTTTGCGGTAACTTTCCCCTTTCAAGAGATATACGAAAAAAAAAATTGTGACCTATGACCTGGAATAGAAAATAATGCAGAGGTGAATCGATCAGGACTTTTGACAATTCATTTATACCAGAAGTTCTCAAACTTATTCTATCTAACGCCCACTTCGAGAATTAATTATTTTCTGGCGCCTCCCAATTTTTTTTACTTTACTACATCTTAAGAATCACAATCGCAGTCATTATTTTAATAATTGAATTATGCGTGTCATGTGAAAATGAGACTTTCTGATGAGGGTAATGTAAAACACCGTTTTGTAATATTAGGAAAACTTTAATTCATGTTATTAAAACACACGTTTCAATTTGATATTATTCTTGTTTAAGAGCAATTTGGCTACAAAAAGCAGCAACGACATTTTTTGTTTTAATCAAATTCAAGTCGTCACCTTGAAGTTGGGGATTGACATCATTAAATGATTTATACAGGTCTGTCAAGTTGGCAATATCATCCTTTGAAGTGATGAGGTTGTCGTGCAATTCTTTGTCTTTGTTTTCCAAGAACTCTATTACAGAGTCGAATAGATTGTAAAATCGAGTCAGACAGTTACCTCTTGATAACCAACGCACTTCTGTGTGAAATAGCAATCGGTTGAAATCTTCATCATTAGCAACACAAATCTGATTAAATAATGTGTCAGTAATTGAGAGAGGCGCTCACTCAAATTTTTCGCAACCAAATGTTGCCTATGAATGACGCAATGTACAGCGAGCACATCTGGAATTTTATTTTTCAAGTACACTATGAAGCCTTTGTGACGTCCTGTCATAGCCGGAGCGCCATCCGTAGCAGCTGATATAATATTCTTCAGTGGAATTTCTTTTTCATCACAAAATTTTTCCATATATGGTTTCTTCTTTTGTATCTTTAAATTTTTGTCAAATAATAGTTCTTGATATATTTTCTCATTTTTAATAAACCTCACGTATGACAACAACAATGCTTCATTGGTTGGTAAAGTGGACTCATCTAACTGAATTGAGAATTTAGAAGTCATCAGATGATTGCACAATGACTCTTCAATGTTTTCAGCCATCTCATCAATTCGTCTTTGCACGGAACTATTGCTCAAAGGAATTTTTCGGATATCTGTCGCTGGTTTATGGAGCACAGTAGTTATTACTTATTTTATTGCAGGTACATCCTTTCCAATAGTATGAGGTTTACCTGTTTGAGCAATTAGCAAGGAGATATTGTAGGAAGCTCGAAGTCCGTCGTCGTCTTGCTTAGAAGCCGTTGAAAAAAGTTTTGACACAGTTGGCTGAGCTGAGGGTTTCTTTTTCAGTTCTTGAGAATGAGTCACACTTTTGTCTTTTTATCTGAATGTATTTTATTCAAATGATCTTGTAGCCTTGAGGGTTTCATCGCTTCATTCGATAATGTTTTTTAACAAAGAAGGCACATGGGCGAAAATAGATTTGTGGCATTTTGAATAAATCCATATTTTATATATTCCGCGCTATACTGCCGTTTCTTCTGTTTTGCTTCAGACATAATTTTGTCTTCAAAAATGCCGAAGTACAGCACTTTACCTAGCTAGTCGCTAACTGAATTCACTTGTTTTCGTGATATTCGAATGACATTACTGGCTGGATGACGCGCGCGCTTTTATCTGAGGCAGCGAACGGGCCTTGTACTTTCAAGAATGGAGACTGGAAACTTCACGCCTCGCATTGAAACTTACCGCCATCTATTGTACAGTTTGGCAACTATCGGACAGGAAATAGTTACTGTCTAGTCCCCTAGATGGCGTTACACGCGTTAACGAGCGTTAAGCGTAAAGGAGCGGTAAAGTTTGTGTTAAAAACAAAAAANTATCGGACAGGAAATAGTTACTGTCTAGTCCCCTAGATGGCGTTACACGAGGAAACGCGCGTTAAGCGTAAAGGAGCGGTAAAGTTTGTGTTAAAAACAAAAAAAACACACAAGGGAGCATTATCGCCCACTTTGAGAAATACTGATATATACTGATGTATTTGAAGTCTCTACAAAAACTCAATTTGTGGGGAATTGTTGCAAAGTCGGCCCTCTTTTTCGTGTATTTTGTCTGGACTATATCGCGATTCTATTTAAAAGCAATTTTCCAAATACCACTATACTATCTGAAACATGATCTATCGCCAGGCTATAAATTCAAATTAGCACCCGATAGTTTGTTATGATGCGATTAAACAGGCATCGGATATAACGCAGAGGGAAACTACACTAAAACAAAGTCAACTGATAATAGACGTATGTGTTCTACTGTCGAATGGTTTCAACTTGTATCATATGTCGAAACATTTTTATATATTCACTTAAAATTGGCGTTTTCCATAACATTCCGAGATAAATAAAATATCTATCTTATAAAATATCTATCCAAGAGTAAACTAGGTAGGAACTGACGAAGAATACAACACAAACAAGAGTCAAGTTCCCAAATGACTTGAAACCACGAGTGTTTCTGATTTTGATCTTTCTGTAACGATAATGTAAGTGATTAAGCTGGCCTATTCGATAACAAAAATTGAAAACTCACCTGACGATAAAAGAGGAGCTCTCTTCTTTGGAAGGCTACCAAAACCAGAACTACCGCTAGCGATGGATCCACCTAACGAACCACTAGAGAAATCGTCAGACCTTTGTTCATTATTGACATCCTCTATGTTCATTTGCTTCTGCTTGAGCGACGGAGATGGACTGAAACAAAAAGATGGACGCACGTTTTGTATTCATTCACTGAAAACTTGTAAACATTCGAGAATAGAGAAAAAATAGCAAATATTAGGTAATATCTAAAAAATAACATGTACGACGATTACTAGGTATCATTATTAATCAGACAATAGTCTAATGAAAGATGAACAAATTAGATAACAAGTTTGTAGTAGCGGTATTTTTAGATTTGAAGGGAGCTTTCGAAACAATCGACAGAAATATAATCCTCAGCAAAATGAAAATATACGGAATTGAGGGGAAAGTGTATGAATGGTTTTGTAACTATCTTGAAGGCAGAAAACAAAGAGTAGGAATCATTGGTACAATTTCAAATGAAATATTAAACGATAAAGGAGTACCCCAAGGAAGTATTTTGGGCCCCTTACTATTCTTTATATATTTAAACGATATTACAATACTCTATCATCTTGCAGTGATATAAGCCTGGATGCTGCTGTACAGAAAATGAATGTGATATTGCAAAAAGTTGACAAATATATAAAAATTGATAAATTGAAATTGAATGTGAGTGAAACTACTGCCATGATCCTCACTTCAAAATACAAATATGAAAAAAATCAATATAAACCAGATAAATATTTCTATACAAAAGTGAATAATACTGTAAAATACTTAAGGTTTCAACTGGACTGCAATCTGACATTTGAAGAACATGTTCAATACATACATAAGAAAATTTCGAAAAAACTATATTTTTCCTCTAGAATTTCAAAGCATCTGTCTTTAAACAGAAAGATATTAGTCTATAAAACAATTATACAACCGCACAGTTTCCTTTAATCCACCTCAGGATAATGTTGTTATTTACCGAGGCTTTGGCTATATCTTGGTGGCACTCTAGTACTAGCCCTGAGGTAACACGTTGTCTAATAGGCTAATAGGGAAAGTCTGCTATCAGTGCAGATTATTCCATTTCCGCGGTTGATGTTGTTCATATGGCTCCTGAATGTTTAAGCAAGCCACTCGCTGTATTTCATATAATTTTTGGATGGCAGTTGCTTGTAGATCTTTCAGTCCCTGTGCAATGGCTCCGTACGTTAACATAGGTTTCAAGGATAAATAGCGAGATTATTATTGGGATACGTTGTTCAATGAATAATGATTTGCCGTGTTCTTGGAACTTTGCCCTACATATATACAGGGCAGCTCCCTTCTGTAAAGCAAAAACAGTCTGCAGCATGCTTTTGCTGCATACTTTCCAGAAGGCAGAGTAAGCAGATCTTGCAAAGGTTCTACCTTGTTCTCTTGAAACTGACTTGATAACGAAACAGCCAGCCTAATAATATAATCCACGAATTTAAGTTTATTATCTGTGTGAAGTCCTGAGAATTTAGAGGACAATTTTACCTCGAGATTGTTGTTATTCCAACTAAGCTGTGGGAGTTCACATTTAATGGCGAGGAGATGGGTTTTGTTCAAGTTCAACTGAGCCCGAGCTATTTATTTTTTCCATATCTTCAGTGGCATCTTTGGCTAGCTTTGTAGGATCTTTTCTCTACCACAACATCGTGGTGTCTCATCTTCAAATAATGTCATGCTAGCAGTTGAGTCCAGTTGTTATATCATTGGCAAACAATAAAAACAAGATGGGTCCTAGGATAGAACCTTGAAGGACACCTGCTTTGAATTCTCCCGCACTGGAGTCTCACAGACTGCTTACGATGTAATAAGTATGATTCAAAGCATCTAATACTTATGTGCCTAAAGCTTAAAGCTTCTGCAACAAGATTCCATGATCAATAAGGTCGAATACCTTGGAAAAATCACTGTATACCCACCAGAATTTATATCGCTATAAACCTTATAGAGAAAGGTAAAAACTGCTTCATTAATACAACAGAAACTTCTTTTTTAACACGCCGCCATTTATATTTTATTGAATTCATTCCATTTGGTTCATACAATCGTATTAGAAACAATAACAACGTATGAAATTGAAAGCAAATGTCGCTTACACCGCCTTTGATAACGTTTTATTGCCGTAATAATAAAATATAGATTGTGACTTTATCAATATTTCGATAAGGTGTTCAACTGTCCTTAATTATTCCAGTAATGTAATTTAAAACACATAAAACTTCGTCAGATGGGTACTGTTTCATAATACAATCGTATATTAGAAACAATAACAACGTATGAAATTGAAAGCAAATGTCGCTTACACCGCCTTTGATAACGCTTTATTGCCGTAATAATAAAATATAGATTGTGACTTTATCAATATTTCGATAAGGTGTTCAACTGTCCTCAATCATTTCAGTAATGTATTTCAAAACGCATAAAACTTCGTCAGATGGCACTGTTTCTTTGAATGAAACATAAAACGAACATGACACGTACAACAAATTATCAAAAAAGAATACTCACGCCTTGAAAAGTATATCACCCGATATCATGTTCAATTCCATCTTGAACTTGAGCATGCTGTTGTCTTGCCGGTGTCTGGCGTCGTAGCCCTCGAGCAGGGCCTTCTTGTGGATGAGACCTGCTCCAGCGTATTCGGCCAAATTGAGATCCACGAAACCGAGCTTGTTGAACGATCTGCCGCCCTTCGACTCTTTCCTGATAGACACCCTCAGAAGGCACCTTTCCATAACCCCCGTGGAGGCGTTAGCCATCATCTTGCACGGGAACGTGAACTTAGCCCCCCAACTGACTTTGTGGTCTACGACTTCTTGCCTGAAACAAAAATAATGAGTAAGTTTTGATTTCATTGTTACGTCCATGGCGTAGACAAGAGAGCAGGCGAACGAACTGCCACTGGCTGCTACTAAGGACCAACGCGATGATTCATGAATGCGAATGCGACTGTGGTATACGAGGATGTATAAATATCTAGTTGTCTAGATATTTTCTTTGATAAATTGATCACTTTAAATCAAGCGGCACGCTTTGAAGTGGTGGCATGATTTATATTAGACATTTCTTCACCTTTGTATGTACCCCGATGGAACTGTTCACCGTTTTCTCTGGTATTATCTAGTATACGACAGGACCGTACTTGCCTATTTCGCAACAGTATACAAATATTTCAATAGCTACTGATGCTTCGTATCGGCATCGGTAGGAACAAAGTACTTCTTTCCGTGCACTTTTTATGGACCACCAGGGTTTCATTGATTACGAATGCAACATAAACGAAAAATATATTCGAATAAGAAACGCGCATACCGTAAATCGTTTGATGCAATTGCATTCTCGTCTGGTTTTGAAATTAATTTCCAGGTAAACAAGTACGAGGAGATTAAGTTTAATAACAAAACGAAGCCTCTGAACATATTCGGAGCGTGAATTGGAGAATATCGAATTTCCCTTGAACTCAAAACCTTCCATATAACCTCATTAGACTAGTCGCCCCGGGCTGCTATTTCTGATAACGTTTCCCCTATTAAGAGGATACGATGTGCTGCAAGGAAGGGTTTTAAAATAGAGATAAACCAGCTCCGCATTTCAAACAAAATTAATAAAGAGGAATGGCGTTTTGAACTAGCCCTAAGAGACATCTTTCGCATTTACGCAGTAGTGGACTAATGTTGGAACTAAAAAAAAAAGTTTGAAATTTATGGCCCCCGTGTTTAGAAAGCTAGATTCACGAGAAATTCACCTCAATCGAAATACGAGGGAGTGGTTCAGGAAACCTGAGTTAATTAAACATGGTATTTTCATAAATATTACAAGGAGTGTTAAGTTTTGTCAAAATAAAATTTAAGTCATGTCAGGGAACACATAAAAAAGTTAGTAGTCTATTCAAAACCTCAACGCGTGTTTCGATATACGACAGCTTTCCCAGGCGTGTTCTACTGACTGACATCTACCTCGTTAGTGCTTTATACAGTCCGTTTTTTAGCCGATCCCACTATTGTTATCTCGTCAAAATATAGATTTGTCGAATTTCGTTTTTTGGCTCTACCGCCTCCAATTCGAATGATATAAAAAAGGAAAATAAACTGTCTCAATACTGTTTCATGTTTATTATAATCCTATTTGAATCAATTTCCATTGCGACGTTTCGTTTATTTTTTCTTTATCATCAATTTTTTTTTAATACAGATATTTATTGTGAAACATAGCAGAATTTGTTATTAAAGTGGCTACAAAAAACGATGAAAAAAACACTGAAAGTACATATTCAAAATAATAAAATTGATGAAATCTAATGAACGAATCGTGGCATTGCAAATTGTTTCATATCAGATTATAACGAATATAAAACAGTATTGAAAGTTCCTCTGCCTTTCTTTATATCATTCGAAATTCGACACAGTTTCCGAGATAGCAATGATGGGATCAGCTAAAAATAACGACCTATATAATAACAATTAATAATAATAATAATTTATTCACATACAAGTTACACAGTTATACAAAGTTAGTATGCAAATAATGCGTTGCAAATAAATTAAGATAACTCACAAAAGGTAAATCTTGAGCGTGAGATGCTTAACTATAAGCNAGTTATTTTATTTTGGTAATATTTTCTTTTGGTTTCTTTTATGAGTTCATTCAGTTTGTTACGATGTTTTTTGAAGTTATTCACGTTCTCTTGGGTGGGGTTTTGTTTCATAAGAATGAACAATCGGTATTTTTATTAATGGAGGCTACTATACCTTTTGTTATCCACTCTTTCCTTTTAATATCAGATCTCTTGTGTTTGAGTGTTGAAGTACATTCTTGTATATATTTTTGCATTAAGTTTATGAAACAATTCTCAGCATGTTCAGGATCATTGTGTTCATAAATTTCGAACCAATTTTCAGCTTGAATGTGAAAAACTAATCTCATTTTATTGAGATATTGTTTGATTAATTTGAATCATATAATCTTCCCACTTAATGACCAATAATTTTACCTGAATTTAAGTAAAAACTAATTACAAATTTAAACATCATTAAAGAAAAGTTTAACAATTCATGTTTATATCATATGAATTGTGTAATGTAATAAATCAATGGGTTTGATTCAATTTATTTTCAACCTAAATCGAAATCTGGAGTCCACTAATATGAGACTGAGACCACTTTTGTGGACTGATTCAAATGGAGTTTATTTCGATTGAATTTAATATATTACAGTCTTAAGTAGACTCATGAATAAGGACAAAACTTTTGAATATTTCCTAACACCAATCCCGCAACTGTTTCGCATCAGTTGAAAAAACTCAATTTCACACTCAGTCGAATTTCTTTCAAGCCATCTGCCTCATCGTTAAAACAAAAAGATAACGTTCCATAAGTAATATATATTTCATACTTAATTACTGTATGCTGTCAGCTTTTTTGTCGGTCTTTCGAGTATGCCGTATCATTACCAAAGTGAAATTAAATTACGGTGGGAAATGTGGAACGGGAAAGAGATCAAGTACGGGTTGAAAATAATTCGTTTATAATAATCGGATTATCATCGTGATAGGATAAGCGATCGACGCGGTAAATTCCTCTTTGGGGTGGCTTTAAACAGGTGATTGCGAATTCCCAGTAAAAACATTTAAAAATATTGGAGTTTCTGTGTACTTATATACTAACTAGCTAACAGATCCAAAAGTACAAATGATGCTATATTTGTCTTCCTAGAAGAGTTATATGTAGGGCTCAATAAAGGCGACGTGGCTGCGGCAGTATTCTGCGACTTTTCTAAGGCCTTTGGTTGCGTTGATCACAGAGTGCTGTTGGAAAAATTGTTTCTTCATGGGATCCAAGGAACAACCTTCAACTGGTTCCGATCTTATTTTTCAGGTAGAATTCAAATGGTAAAGTTGCAGAACAAAAATTCTAGTCTGTCGAAAATCACCTGTCGAGTCCCCCAAGGATCAGTGCTCGGTCCCATTTTGTTCCTTATCTATGTGAATGACCTATATAATATCGACATACAAGGAAAGTTTACAATG